CCGCCCGGAAGAAGGACGAGGAAGCGGCGGCCGGAGCCAAGGGAGAGGCCGGAGACGACGCGGCCGACGCGGAGGATCCGCGGAGACGGAATATCCTGCGGAGCCTGCGGCGCACCACCAAGGTGAGCGCCCGTTCCCGCCGCATCCTGGTGGCTCCCGGAATGTCCGTTGTTGGGATTGGGAATGCCGCCGGGATGGAGAGCCCGGCTCCTGCTGGCCTCTGTGCAGCATTCCAAGCGATCCGGCTGTTCCAAGCGGATCCATGCTGGGAATGACGCGCCGAGTCCATCTTCCAGAGCTGGAGCTCCTCTCTAGGAGGAGAAAATCCCTTGGGATGAATCAGGAAGGAGCTGCTGCGTTCCCAATCCCAAAATCCTGCAAGCTGAGCCAGGTTAATCCTGCCTTTTTCCCCCCTGAGTATCCCAAGGCTCGCAGGATGGATCCATGCATTTTGGGGGGGAATTCCCATCCCGTTTCCATAGCTCCGGCTGCTCAAATCCGCCGGTGCTGCCCACACTCTGCTCCATGGGAAAATGACCTTTCCGACATTCCCAACACCAAAATCCTCCGGAAACCTGGATTTCCGAGGGTGCCTGGGCTTTCCAACGTCCGGAGCGGCCAAACGTCCGGAAAAGCATCGGGAAAGCGATTGAAAAAAAGGCCTGCGGAAGCAAGCGAGCGAGCTGCTCCGGCTCCAAAATTCCTGGCTCTGGAATTCCCACCATGGCCCCTCCTCACCTGGAGCTCCTGGGAAAATTCGGGAATTCAGGAGGGAGGGGGAAGCGTCCAGCTTGGGTCTTTCCTGGGAATTTGCCTGGCCCCCGGGAGCTCCATGTGGCTAAGAATCCCCGGAGCCTTTCCCGTAATCCCGTTTTTTTCCCGTTTTCCGCAGAAACCAAAGCCGAAGCCGCGTCCGTCCCTCACGAAGGCCACGTGGGAGAGCAGCTACTTCGGAGTCCCCTTGAGCCACGTGGTGACTCCGGAAAAACCCATTCCCGTTTTTATCGAGAGGTGCATCGAGTACATCGAGGCCACGGGTAGGAGCTCCTGTTTTTCCGGCAGGAAATTCCCGGAATCCTGGTTCTCCGGAGGCACCTCTGGGGCTTCTCCGTCCCACCTTGGAGCTGAAATTCCTGCCTGTTCCGGGAGGGAAATCCCTTTGGGAGGGAGATGTGCTCGGAGAAGGGGAAAGCGGAGGAATTCCGGTGCGGGAGCCGGGTGCTGGGAAAAATCCTTGGATCGGATGGGAATTGCTGAAGTTGGGAATCCAGAAAAGCTTTGGGACTAACGTGGCAATGTCGGATCCGAAATGGGATTTCTACGCTCGGCAAGGGATGAATCCCGGGAATGCAGTGGGAACGAGGGTGTCCATGTGAAGGGAGGTGGGAAAATGGATGGAGATTCCTCCCACTTCCAAACTTCCCTGTTTTGGGAAGCAAGCGAAAAGATGGGTTTGCTCCAAACCCGGCTCATCCGATCTCCCCCTTGCCCTACGGATTTCCACGTTCCATCCAGCAATCCTTCCAGGAGCTGGGAATGCCACAGCAGGGACACAACTGGGATGCATTTTGCAGATTAATGAGGAAAAATTAACAGAATTCCCAGCGGTTTTTCCCAGCCTAGGGAATGGGGGGGCATTTTCCAGCTTTTCCTCTGCCTCATCCCGCCTTCCCGTGTTTATTTTTCCTGATTTCCAGGCTTGAGCACGGAGGGAATTTACCGGGTGAGCGGGAACAAGTCGGAGATGGAGAGTCTGCAGCGCCAGTTTGACCAAGGTAGCGCCTCCGGCATTCCCAATTCCGGCATTCCCGGTTCTGGTATTCCTGACTCCGGCATTCCCGGCTCTGCCGTGCTGATCCAGACGATAGGGCATAAAACCCCCACAAAATTCCTGGGAAACCTGGAGCATTTGGGTGGTTTGGGGTTCCAGACTGTTTTTTTTGGGAAGGGCCAGGATGTGTTTGAGCCAGCACCACTTTTCCCATGGGATTTTCCCATTCCCAACCCCTCCGGAGCAGTCAGCATCCTCCTTTGCGCCTCCAGACATGGGAGAACTTCCCTATTTCCCCTTTGGTTTTCCGGGGGATGTTTTCCTTCCTTGCGGCTGAGCCTTTCCCGTCTTTTCCCCGCTCCCGCTCGGAATTCCCGCCGGGAATTCCCGCTTCCCCGGCAGACCACGGGCTCGACCTGGCCGAGAAGGATTTCACGGTGAACACGGTGGCCGGCGCCATGAAGAGCTTCTTCTCGGAGCTTCCCGATCCGCTCGTTCCCTACAACATGCAGCTGGAGCTGGTGGAAGCCCACAGTGAGTATCCGGAACGCCCCTTCCCACCGGATCAACCGCCCCAAGGCTCCATCCAGCCGGGAATCGCCTCCCAAATCCTTCCCCAAGGATGTCCCAACGCTCCGCAATGTCCCAACAGCTCCGCATGCTCCTTCCCCGCAGCGGGCGGAAAGTGGATTCCTGATGGTGGGAAGCAAGCGGATTCCCGATGGATTGGGAATGCTCCCGGGTTCCTTCCGGCTTGTTTTTGGAGCCGGGAAGGGAGCTGCTTGGTCCCAGCATTCCCACTTCCCATGGGAACATCCGGAGCAAGAGGAGCCACCGGCAGCGCCGTGATGGATTTTCCAACATTGCAAATCCCAACAAATTATTCTTCCCCAAAAAAACAGACGGATGAGGGTTTTTTTCCCTTTGTTTTCCCAGAAATCAACGACTGGGAGCAGAAGCTCCAGGCGCTCAAGGAGGTGCTGAGGAAATTCCCGAAGGAAAACTACGAGGTCTTCAAATATGTCATAAGCCACCTGAACAGGTGCGGAAAACTGGGAAGGGATTCCGGCATGGAGGCCTTGGGAATGCTGGGAAGGAGTTTCCATCCCGGTGGCTCTGGGATTCCAGCACTGTGGCTGTGGGAATACTGGGAAGTAATTCTGGCATTGGGAATACCAGGAAGGGGTTGCATCCCAGTGGCTTTGGGAATGCTGGGAAGCGATTCTGGCATTGGGAATACTGGGAAGTGATTCCATCCCAGTGGCTTTGGGAATCTAGGAAAAGATTTCCATCCCGATGGCATTGGGATTCCAGTACAGTGGCTTCAGGAATCCTGGGAAGTGATTCTGGCATTGGGAATACCGGGAAGAGGGTTCCATCCCGGTGGCTTTGGGAATACTTGGAAGCGATTCTGGTGTCAGGAATCCTGGGAAGGGGTTTCCATCCTGGTGGCTTTGGGATTCCAGCCTGGTGGCTTTGGGAATACTGGGAAGGGGATCTATCCTGGTGGCTTTGGGAATACTTGGAAGCGATTCTGGTGTCAGGAATACTGGGAAGGGCTTTCCAGCCCGGTGGCTTTGGGAATACTTGGAAATGATTCTATCCTGGTGGATTTGGGAATACTGGGAAGCAGATCCACCCTGGTGGCTTTGGGAATACTTGGAAGTGATTCCATCCCGGTGGCTTTGGGAATACTGGGAAGGGGATCCACCCTGGTGGCTTTGGGAATACTTGGAAATGATTCCATCCCGGTGGCTTTGGGAATACTGGGAAGGGGACCCACCCTGGTGGCCTTGGGATTCCAGCCTGGAGGCTCTGGGAAGCGCCACGGCATCCCCGTGCCGGGGCTGTTCCCGGAGCCGGCGGCTCGCGGCATTCCCGGCGTTCCGTGTTTTCCGCAGGGTGAGCCGGCAGCAGCGGGCCAACCTGATGACGAGCGAGAACCTCTCCATCTGCTTCTGGCCCACGCTCATGCGTCCGGATTTCAGCTCCATGGATGCGCTCACGGCCGCCCGCTCCTACCAGGGAATCATCGACCTCCTCATCCAGCAGTGCCCCTTCTTCTTCCCGCCGGGAACGCCGGGAACGCCGCCCGGCAGCCCCGCCCAGCCCTTCCCGCCGGGAGCCGCCGCCGTGCCGTGAAAGGGGGACAGGCTCCAGCAAAGGGGCGGCGCGGGGA